CATTGAATACTCCTCGTATACTACTTTTAATTCTTTCATTGTAACTACGATTACTACTCGTAGTACTACGTTTACTACTCGTAGTACTACATTTACCACTCGTAGTACTATGATTACTACTCGTAGTACTACGATTACTACTCATTCATTCATTGAATACTCCTCGTATACTACTTTTAATTCTTTCATTGTAACTACGATTACTACTCGTAGTACTACGTTTACTACTCATAGTACTACGATTACTACTCGTAGTACTACATTTACCACTCGTAGTACTACATTTACCACTCGTAGTACTATGATTACTACTCGTAGTACTACGATTACTACTCATTCATTCATTGAATACTCCTCGTATACTACTTTTAATTCTTTCATTGTAACTACGATTACTACTCGTAGTACTACGTTTACTACTCGTAGTACTACGTTTACTACTCGTAGTACTATGATTACTACTCGTAGTACTACGATTACTACTCATTCATTCATTGAATACTCCTCGTATACTACTTTTAATTCTTTCATTGTAACTACGATTACTACTCGTAGTACTACATTTACCACTCGTAGTACTATGATTACTACTCGTAGTACTACGATTACTACTCATTCATTCATTGAATACTCCTCGTATACTACTTTTAATTCTTTCATTGTAACTACGCTTACTACTCGTAGTACTACATTTACTACTCGTAGTACTACGATTACTACACGTAGTACTACGTTTACTACTCGTAGTACTACGATTACTACTCATTCATTCATTGAATACTCCTCGTATACTACTTTTAATTCTTTCAATGTAACTACGATTACTACTCGTAGTACTACGTTTACTACTCGTAGTACTACGATTACTACTCGTAGTACTACGTTTACTACTCGTAGTACTATGATTACTACACGTAGTACTACGTTTACTACTCGTGGTACTACGATTACTACTCGAATATACTAGGATTACTACTTATTCCTTTATTAATTCTCCTTGTACTACTCGTAATACTATGTTTACTACTCCTAATTTTTTCAAGATACTACTCGTACTAGTCATAGTACTACGTTTACTATTCATATTACTACGTTTACTACGAGTACTACTACGAACACTACTCTATCATAAATAGTTTTTTTTTCATAATATTTAAAATTCTACGTTTACTACTCATAGTTCTATTTTACTATTTATTCGTTAGAGTGTTTTTGACGATTAAATGGATTCCTCATAAGCAAATCAAATAGCCTACAAATTCTTGGGAATTTTAAAATTTGATTTCAAATTTGATTACGTTTCAGAGGTTTCTGAATATTTTGGTATACCTTAGACAAAATGGATGTATGTGTGTGCGTGTTTATGTGTATTCGGATACAAATTTTTGTCGACGATTTCGGGAACTTGGATGAAGCGATTTGAATCATTCAAAAAACATTCGATTCGTATTGATAAGGAGACGTGCTGATTAGTTTTTGGCGAAGGCAGGTCTAGCTATTCCGAAGATAGGGAACAAAAAGTGCCAAAAATGGTAACTCACTTTTTAAGAGAACGGAGCGTCCGATTTTCATAATTCAAAAAACATTTTACTTGTATGGACAAGATGAAGAACTGGTCAAAGTTTCATGGAGTCAGATCTAGCGGTTTCGGAGATCCAATAAAAAAAATAAAAAAAATGCCATTTGGCCATCAAAAATGATCATTAGACATATGCACATCAAATTACCAGATATTTTATAGGGATTTTAACAATAAGTATAAATTTTGTTTACATTTTTATGGGTTCCGTACCAATGTTTATCCGTTAGACGGCGACGCGGCGCTTACGCGCTTCTATATTTCGTCTCTATGCAGTTAAAGCAGTACGATTGCTTTGAAAAAAAGTTCAGAATTTCCAAAATATTTCAAAATAAATTTTTCTTCAAAAAGTCTTTTTTTTTTTCAAAAAAAAGTAAATTTTTGTCAAAAATTTATAGTTTCTCAAAAACCTAAGTTTTTTAAGTAATTTTTTTTCAAAAATGTTAATCTTTTAAAAAAAAAAACAATTTTTGGTACGGAAAGTTCCAGCAATTTGCCTTAAGGTACGATGTCATGCGCCCCACTAGTTTATATTACAGGCTTAAAATGTTGAGAAACTTTGTAAATATATGTTCATAAACAATGTACTTGTCAATGAGTTTGGTAATGTTTGAGAAATTGAATCTAATTTTTAGGCATTCATTGATGGGTGACTGATTTATTAAAAACAAATATCACTTATCATGTATCAATTTTATTAGGTTTCGTCAATTTTTACGACATATTTTCTTTGTAAATATTAGAAACGAAACATTTCTTCCGAGACTGTATTTTAGACAGACAAGAATCGCTCGTAATAAAGGTTTAAAAACATTTAATATTTCTTGAACATTTCGTTACGGTACGGGAAGTTCCAGCAATTTGCCTTAAGGTATGATGCCATACACCCCACTAGTTAATTACATTACAAATTACACCTCGTTTTATTAAAGGTCTAAAATGTTGAGAACCCTAGTAAAAATGTATTCATAAACAACTTGTCAATGGAATTGGAAATATTTGATAAAGTACTCATTGAGGAGACTAATTCTTAGGCATTAATTGGTGAGTGATTGATCTATAAATGCAAATATTATTTATCATGTATAAATTTTATTACAATTTTTACGACGTATTTTCTTTGTAAATATTAGAAACGAAACATTTCTTCCGAGACTGTATTTTAGACAGACAAGAGTCGCTCGTAGTAAAGGTTTAAAAACATATAATATTCCTCGAACATTTTGTTACGGTACGGGAAGTTCCAGCAATTTGCCTTAGGGTACGATGCCATACACCCCATTAGTTTACATTAAGTCTATATATTTGTAAATTACACCTAGTTTTATTAAAGGTCTAAAATGTTGAGAACCCTAGTAAAAATGTATTCATAAACAACTAGTCAATGAGTTTGGAAATATGTACAAATGTACTCAATGAGGAGACTAATTTTTTAGGCATTATCTAATTGGTGAGTGTTTAGTGATTAGTGATTGATTTATTAAATACAAATATCACTTATCACGTATAAATTTTATTACAATTTTTACGACGTATTTTCTTTGTAAATATTAGAAACGAAACATTTCTTCCGAGACTGTATTTTAGACAGACAAGAGTCGCTCGTAATAAAGGTTTGAAAACATTTAATATTCCTCGAACATTTTGTTACGGTACGGGAAGTTCCAGCAATTTGCCTTAAGGTACGATGCCATACACCCCATTAGTTTACATTAAGTCTATATAATAGGTTGTCAAATATCTCCCTTCCGCCTTTTTGTATTATAAACCAAGAGCAAAAAAGCGGAAGGGAGATATTTGACAACCTAATATTTGTAAATTACACCTAGTTTTATTAGAGGTCTAAAATGTTGAGAACCTTAGTAAAAATGTATTCATAAACAACTTGTCAATGGAATTGGAAATATTTGTACTCATTGAGGAGACTAATTTTTTAGGCATTATCTAATTGGTGAGTGTTTAGTGATTAGTGATTGATTTATTAAATACTAATATCACTTATCATGTATAAATTTTATTACAATTTTTACGACGTATTTTCTTAGTAAATATTTGAAACGAAACATTTCTTCTGAGACTGTATTTTAGACAGACAAGAGTCGCTCGTAATAAAGCTTTGAAAACATATAATATTCCTCGAACATTTTGTTACGGTACGGGAAGTTCCAGCAATTTATCTTAAGGTACGATGCCATATATCCCACTAGTTTACATTAAGTCTATATATTTGTAAATTACCTAGTTTTATTAAAGGTCTAAAATGTTGAGAACCTTAGTAAAAATGTATTCATAAACAACTTGTCAATGGAATTGGAAATATTTGTTAAAGTACTCATTGGGGAAACTAATTTTTTAGGCATTATCTAATTGGTGAGTGATTAGTGATTGATTTATTAAATACTAATATCACTTATCATGTATAAATTTTATTACAATTTTTACGACGTATTTTCTTAGTAAATATTTGAAACGAAACATTTCTTCTGAGACTGTATTTTAGACAGACAAGAGTCGCTCGTAATAAAGGTTTGAAAACATTTAATATTCCTCGAACATTTTGTTACGGTACGGGAAGTTCCAGCAATTTGCGTTAAGGTACGTTGCCATACACCCCATTAGTTTACATTAAGTCTATATATTTGTAAATTACACCTAGTTTTATTAGAGGTCTAAAATGTTGAGAACCTTAATAAAAATGTATTCATAAACAACTTGTCAATGGAATTGGAAATATTTGTACTCATTGAGGAGACTAATTTTTTAGGCATTATCCAATTGGTGAGTGATTGATGTATAAATGCAGATATTATTTATCATGTATAAATTTTATTACAATTTTTACGACGTATTTTCTTTGTAAATATTAGAAACGAAACATTTCTTCCGAGACTGTATTTTAGACAGACAAGAGTCGCTCGTAATAAAGGTTTGAAAACATATAATATTTCTCGAACATTTTGTTACGGTACGGGAAGTTCCAGCAATTTCCCTTAAGGTACGATGCCATACACCCCACTAGTTTACATTAAGTCTTATATATTTGTAAATTACACCTAGTTTTATTAAAGGCCTTAAATGTTGAGAACCCTAGTAAAAATGTATTCATAAACAACTAGTCAATGGATTTAGAAGATTTGTACTCTTTGAGGAGGCTAATTTTTTAGGTATTATCTAATTGGTGAGTGATTAGTGATTGATTTATTAAATACAAATATCACTTATCATGTATAAATTTTATTACAATTTTTACGTCGTATTTTCTTTGTAAATATTAGAAACGAAACATTTCTTCCGAGACTGTATTTTAGACAGACAAGAGTCGCTCGTAATAAAGGTGGGGAGAGCGTTTGAATACCTCTATCCCTACCTGGCAGATACTGTACGGTTCACGTCACAAGTAGTACCTTCTGTGTCTATTGTGCGGCACACATCATCGGCAAAACTGCCGTCGAATAAAAAAAAAATTAAATTAAACTAGAAGTACAACAAAATACTTAAAACAAACGATATTTATTAGTAATTAGAGAAAAGTTTATTTATTTAATTAATCAGAGGTAAAAGATATAATCAGATCCAAAGAAGTGCGGAATACCTTTACACCCATAATAAAAGTTGATATTAAAATTCTGTGCTTAGTGTAAATAAATTAGCAGTGACTTTTGATGTATAAACAATCGTAATGTGAGAAGCTTTTATAAACAAAACATTCAAATCAATTGTTATTTAATTATCACGCTTATTTGAACAGGTGCCACACCGTGCAGACCCGGATTAACCAACAATTATTTATTTATTGACAAAGAATTTCAAACATTCTGCCTAATCAATATTACAACCTCTGTCAATTACCACAATGAGATCTTTATAAGTGTACCTACTAAATAATATTTTCGAAATCTTTTATTTTTTTGTAAAGTGGTGAGTGGTTTCCGAAGAAGTTGTAGTAAGTAACGTCGTTTGAGCGGAGCGCGGGCACCGCCATGTTGTATCCGAGTCATGTGACTTGTCTGTATGTGTGCACGGCGGGCCAAAGAGGGCCGGCTCTTGGCTCCGATGAGCAGGAGATCATCTATATGTCCTATGTCATCGTGGATGTCAACACGAATAAGGTAATTTATTGAAAATTAGTTGATTTTAGGAAATTTTAATAGGAAAAATATTAGTTTACCGATTTGTACATCCTTTCGTCTTGTCGAAACAAAAAGATTGCCCACCTAAACTGTGCTTTCTGTTCAAAAGTTTAACCCGTGTTTCTTTGACAAGTTCTGTATGCCGCACTATATGTCCTATTCTGTCGTTGTAGTTGGCACAAATAATTGCCTCGTTAGTCTTAGAAAACGTAAAATTATATGTATATACTAGATGACCCGACAATTCAAAAGTTCTAAATTTTTTAATATCCTATCATATACTTTTTGATATTCTATTTGATGTCCTGCCTTTGTGATTCATTTATGGTCTTGGCTTAAGCAGTATAAGAAATTCAGAAAAAAAATTTACAGCGTAACATAATTGCTTCAATAATTTAGCCTATAATTTTCATGATCTCGTTCGATATATTAGTTGCTTTTTGGCTTACTTACTACTAATTTAATAAATATTATTGTTTATATACAAATCTTAGGTGAATTAATGTGTAAATTCTAGTTCATATGAGCACTCTTCAATCCAAGATCAACTTGCTAAATATTCCATATCCAATGCCAAACAAATGAATTTTTGACACATGAAACAAAATTCTAAATAATTTTTTAATAAGTAGAAATATTTTTTTGTATTATTAAATAATTTAGTAAAGTAAACCAAAAGCGACATACACAAGTTTAAAACAATAATGTATATGCAATTTTGAACTTATTGCGTTATTTATTAATCTAAATTATATCATTTTATTTGCCAAACATATACTGTTGACTGTATCTTATATTATTTTAATTTCTGGCACATCTCAGCTGCTTTTCGGCAATAATAATGTAGTCATTGCATTTTACTTGTATATTATATTCTAATATTTTCTGGGCTCATAATTTCAGCTAAATTCAAATTTCAAGTGGATTGACATTTCTAGCAGATGACAGTTCAAATGTTTTCAATGTCAAACAATGATAAGAGGTTAATTGTAATTTTTGCCATTTATTTCTACAATATTACTTAAAATCTTAAAAAGGGATTCTTAAAAATTTTCTTTGATAAACTCTAAAAAGAATTATTAAAATCCGAATAACCGTTTAGGAGAAGTATCAAATCATACATCTGCGCAAAAGTATTTTATATATAAGATATGATTGTAAACAATTTATTTTTCGTAAAACATCAAGTTAACGTTTGTTCCATGGTTTTGACCTTTCGAAACAATTGTCAAGGCAAATTGCTGAAAACTGGATTACTATTTTTGGCACGTTTTGCCCCGTATCTTCGAAACGACTTGACCTGCCTTCGCCAAAAACTAAACAGCACGTCTCGCCCTCAATACGGCTCGAATGTTTTTTGAATTACTCAAATCGGTTGATACGTTTTGCCGAAATTGTTGATGAAAATTTGTATCCGCACACACATACACCCATTTTTTCTAAGGTATGCCAAAATATTCAGAAACCTTTGAAACGTAAAGATATATAAAAATTTTCATTTTCGATTTTTTTGCGATTACTATAACTTGCCCTACGGGAAGTTAAAAAACGATTTATTTATCATAAAACATTAACACACTTTAGCAAGAAATATAAATATCTTTTCTTTTTAAATATTTGCACCTATTTCATGTGGAACATCAGCAAATATAAAGTACGTCAGGAACTCGAGAAATTTTAAGAATTTTTTAAAGAAAACTAAATGATTCCCAGCAGATTTATTGGCTTGTGATTATTTTAAAATTCAATTAAATTTCTTGGTAGCATATTTATCGCTTAAGTCAATATTAACAAAAGATTATCTGTACACCTTATATATTTTGCTATTGTGCAAGTCAATAAGACAGGTGACTGACAGAATTTTGCAGTTATAACATAAAATTATATTTTATTGATTCACTAGTTGTCCGGTGAAAATAAATAAAAAAAGTCCTGAATTTTCGAACTTAGAAGTTTTTACCTAGAATATTTTACCTGCTTAATACGAATTTAATGCATCTTTTTTGTTGCAAAATTTTATTGGTGATATAAAGCGTTTCCGAGTTTCCCTTGTTGAAATATAATATACCTGAAAGATTTTTGTCAAAATTATATACCTAATTCTGGGCAGTACTTAGCCCAAGTGGTAAGGTGCCTCAACTTTGAAACCTCAAATCGAGTCCAAATTCATTTCTTTTTAAAAATATAGATCAAAATATGTAATATCTAGTGAAAATGGTCTTTCTGAGCTTTGCTGCAAAACATATAGACATCAAAATTACTTGCTAAGAATGTTGAAAAATAGCACTTGAAAAGAACAACCATTGTGTTGACTTCTAATAGCCACATGTTAAATAAACAAATAAAATAATAAAATAAAAATTATAGGATCTTCGTATAATAATTAACACATCGTAATTTTAGTGTAAATAAAAAACAGATATATTTCTGGTAATAAGATTTTTTTGAATATTGATACTTGTTTAGGTTTTTTAAAATTATGAGTTATCAGAAACACTTCGACCTAGAGATTTCTCAATTAATATCAGAAGAAAGTTAGTTCTAAATACTTATTTCTGTGAACAATCATAAAGATCATATTCTGGTTTGATTTTTTAAATATAAGTATTTGTCAGTAAAGTGTTTTAAATTATTTCACCAAATAATTTAATACTGTCTTTGGTAGACATTTAATAAATATAATATAACGAACAAAATGTAGTACATAAATAAACATTAATAGAAGTACCAGTATTACTTCTACCAGTATTACTTCTAAATATATACATAAATGACCAATTGTAAGTGTAAAAATAAGTTTCTATAAAAAATGACAAATATATACCAACGATAATAACTTAATAACAATCCATGAATGATTGATTTTCTTTCATATATTAGTTCAATTTTCTTATTTGCTTTAAGTTGTTATCAAGAAGTTGATTTAACAGATAAAGTTTATGTATGTAATTTTATGAAGAGTTAACTATTTGATTGATGTTTATATAGATAAGAAATGCAAACATTGACGATAATTGGAACAGATGATATCGTTGTAAAATTTTCAAACACCTAAATTCCTATCTTTCTCAATTTGAAAAACAGTCTCTTTAATAATTGTAGTAAATAATAGTTTATAATTCTTAAACAAACACACTTTCATTGGGGTACCTTGTTTAATGGATTAAGTTGTAACATATGCATTTTAATCAATATGTTAATTGTTCCTGTTCATCGTTGGCTTTTAATTAAATAAACAAAAATATTTAATATTAAATATTCAGTTTTTTGACAAGTTGTTTAAGAAGTTCCAACACGTCATTGTTATTCTACGCGGCACAAAATTACCATAAATTACAGAGCCACGTTTTTTAGTAAGAAAAAAAACTATATAAGAGAGGTATGCATGATTTTGTCAGTTTTTTCACTTTTATTTGTTTTCTTACAAAGATCAGATATATATATATATATATATATATATATATATATATTTGTTTGCTTAAAATCTAAATAAATACCATATTGTCACAAGGCGCTAATGCACATTTTGTTTCTTTTAGTCGTGGTACCTTCAAATGGATTCGCATATATTAAAATAAATTGTTTACTTTTACCAAAAATGTCTGTTTGTGTCAAATTGATTTTTTTTGAAACTTAGAAGCAATTTTTCAACAGAAATGTTTTGTTTTTAATATAGAAACTATAGAACGTATGTATACACATTTCACAAAGATTCTAGGGAATTCAAAAGTGACATTTTAAATATTTTTTTACTTCCTTGTTTTAATATTTTTCTTTAGTTCAAGTTTTATTAGTTTTCAAAAGCTATATAGCTAAACGAAGTGCCTAGTATTTTACCTTAAGCAAGTTTCAAAAATTTCCCGATATGTGTAAATAGTAGATTTTATTATTTAATCAATAAAAATTCCACATTTTGGGAAGATTTTGAGGAATGTCAATTTTTGGCTCATAAACCCTCTTTATAATGTTGGTGTTAAACGATGCGGAATGACTAATAACGTCGATAAAACATAAATTTATCAAATAGAATTTTCTAACAAAATCATAAACTTAATTGTATATAAACTGGAAGCAAAATTCAAAAATATAAATCATGACTAATAACTTTGCTATTGTTTTCCATTAAGACGATTATATTATTATTATGATTATGTTATAGGTGATTTATTTGTTTATAAACTACTTGATTAACAAATGGCTAATGGTAAACGTAATTTTTAATTATTTGTTCATGATGAAATATTGTATTGATGAAGAAAATTGTAAAGGACTCGTTTTATTCTATGAACTATCTTTGTGTTTTTCTGAATATTGTATTCTCTTCAATTTATAATAAAATAATTATTAGTTCAAATGGACTAATGGTGTATGACATCGTGCTTTAAGACAAATTACTGGAACTTCCCGTACCAAAAATTGAATTTTAGAGAAAACTTTCAATTTTATTTCATTTTTGAGAAATTTTTTATAAACTGAATTACAATTTTTGGCTCTTTTGCCTTGTATCTTTGAAACGGCTGGAACTGCCTTGTCCAAAAACTAATCAGCACGTCTCCTTATCAATAGGAATCGAATGTTTTTTGAATCATTCAAATCGGTTGAACATTGTTCTCGAAATCGTCGATGAAAATATGCATCCGAACACATACACAAACGCGCACACACAAACACATTCTCTCTCTCTAACACTCTAATGAAAATATGATTAATAATTTTGCCTAATTATATGATTAATAATTTTGCCAATGGTTGATATAAATATAAAACATTTTACTAGCGCTAAATTTTTGTTGTAAATTTGATAATTTTTGAACTTATTTATGATGAAATATTTTATGAATAAATAAGATACTATTTTTTTGGATTGCTGAGAGTTTTGATATTGATATTAGCAAATAATAAAATTTTAGTTATATAAATATCAATTCTTACTTTTTCTTTATTTTCAAAAAATTCGTTTGTCTATATAGAAAGACATT